ATAAATGCGAATTACCAGTCATCAATCCCCAAAAAAAAATGTAAGGCCAGACCATTCACTTCACAAGCTCTCAATAAATACGACAAACCAAGTGGAGGGGACCTGACTCTGCTACTGCTCGTAATCTCACTCGCATCCGAGCGGGAGAGAGAGAGAGAGAAAGTGCCCGCCACCCACTCGACCAGACAAACAGAATGCGTATCTGAATGGTTAAACAGCACAAGGGGCTCTTCCAGTCCTAGACTTCGGCAGAAACGCCCATCGGACCACCTCTCTGCACCGCCCCCATGCGACTTCATATTTACCCCAATCCAAAGTTAAAACAAGAATATTGGTCTTGTGTCGTTGCCTCCACAACGTATATTTTTCTAAAGTCCATGAGGGGTAGAAATCATCTAACTCTGAAACACTCTAAAAAAAATCTTCATTCTTTTTTAAACTTTCAAATCCACTCCGTCGGGTACTCCCTATTCAGAATCCTTTCTCCATCAAATCAACACCCCACCTGCGAAAGGGCGATGGTAGAGTCTTCACGCCTCCAGGGACCCCACCGCATGGGGGAAGTTATAGAGGGCGTGTGGAACAGTAAAGTTAGAAGCTTTTTTCCTCTGGACCCTACTTCAAAGCTTCCCATTAGGCATATCAACAATGGGAGAAACCCCCTTTCACCCATAAATTATTTAGACAACATCTGGACACACATTCTTTCCACCAGCTCATACTCTTCCGCAATCAGGTGCTAAAAGCCACTAGCACCATTCACGAGGCTTCGCGTCACGTTCAGCACACCCAGCAGCTGTTCAAGTAAGTGGAAGGTAACGGACTGGAGACTGGACGCCGACACGAGGCAATCACGAAACTCAAGGCATTTTCCGGGGTTGTATCGTCTCCAGGACCCCGAACGCCCCGGTGGAGTGATGAAAAATTCTCTTGACGCGACTGATGTGGTGAATCGATTCCTTTCGGCAGATGGGTTGTGTTTTCCCCTTCCTGCTGAAGACGCCTTCTTGAGAAGCTCTTGGCCTTGGCGCAGGTCAGCGATCAGAACCTTAAAACACAGCTCAACTATTTGATGTAAAATGATGAATTCCACTTCCCCGTGGGGCGCTAAGCCCTTTCCGCTGAGTTTACCGCCCACTACGCCCTCCTGCAACTGTGCCAGCACCTCAGTACCAAGGGTACGACGCGTGATGCGCCGGCCCATGCCTCAGCGTCAGAATGTCATTCTCCGCTCTCTCGAGTCCGAGGACGGAGTCCTTTCCCGTACCATTATCGCTGTCATCGTGCTGCAGCTTCCCGCGCTCGCTCCCCTGGTGAGTGCAGTGAGCAAAGCCTCCTTCTCCTTCCCTCCTGCGTGCCGGGGCGCAACTCCACAAGTGAGTTTAGGAACGGGCACCCACTCACGATCACACACGCTTTTTTGCTACTCGACAGTAATAAACCCAAGACAACGCTCTGTGCTCGGATCACCTCCTCCGTTCATGAGAAAAAATCGAAGAGAAATAGTGACTGAGCCAGATATACAAATGAACAGACGAAACTCACCAAGGGATAAGGTCATGCACTGACAAACCAGGTATCATGATTATCAGTGACTCACACAACTATATGTGCTGTTGAAAAAACCGACGGAGATGCTTCCCCACGTGGCAACCAGCCGCTGCGTCCAGTGAAGAGAATGCCCAAAGCAATCCACTTCGCATAGAGACGCCTGGAAGAGTTTGCACACACATACACACATCCAGCAAGGGCACAATGTGGCTGCGGAGACTGTATTGGCATTGACCTCCACACGCTCACCAGACACATACATGTATGGAGAAACACATGTGCACATTCACCCAAAAGTGTTTTTTTAAAATTTACATTAGTCAACGCCTCTCTCTAAAGCGAATACAGAAGCCTTCGTTCTTCACGTAGGCCACAGAAACAAAAAAAAAAAACTACACTGGATCTATATACTATAGTAACGGTACAGCGATGATCTATTGGCACACCAAATAAAAATGAACTCAGAAAAACGCTTATGGCCTAAAGCGCAATGGGAGTTCCCACAGCAGAGGTTCTTTCTACCGGTGCCGCACCGTCTGCTGCCATACCATGCTTCCTCACAGAACGTGCAGTTGCAGGGCCAGGAAGATCGTGCTGTTTCCTTGCCACTGTATTCTCTCTTGGCTTAGAAGGTTTCTTTTTAGTTGGTTTGGGAGAAGTTTTTTGAGTGGATTTCGTCCTTGGGGAGCCTTCATGTGAATCATTTGGAAGGTCATGTGCCTCTCCCTCGGCGTCTGATCCACTTGGGATTTTTACGGAAGCTACGTCTTGTGCAGTGCGTCCAGCTGCCGAATCGTCAGCAGGCACCTCCTCCGCCACGGTAAAGGACTTTTTACCGCCTTCAGCAGCGGCGGGTCTTGCCGCTTTGGTTAGCGCCCGGCGGTAGCACGTTGGCTGCAGCGCCACATGCAATATCGCTGTGTTGCGTCGATTCATTTCACGCCGCGCCTTGCCAGCTGTAACGGCAGGGACGCCGTTCACAGACAGAACACGGATGGCGCGTGACGAAGGCAAAGCCTCTTTACTAAAAAACTGCTTCGCCACCACTGACTGAGAGATGAGCTCCTCTGGCAGCGGGTTAAGGTAAATGCTAGTTCTCCGCTGGTGAATTCCAACATTCCACGGGTCACTTGCAGAGCGACGGCTCATTGTGAGCGTCGCCCACTGTTCCACATTAGTATTGCTGATGCACTCATTAAGTGTGATGGACAACACCGAAAAGGGCCGTACAAGACACATCCTACTCTTCGAGAGCATCCTTCTGTATTTCACCTTTCCCGCAGTTACTATGTGATTATTTTCCTTCGCCGCTTCCTCGTCTTGCTACAATATCGATTTCCCATCAAAATTTAGCGATTGGTATTATCCATGATAGCAAACAACACGAAGAAGATGACAAATTGTGAATCATGACAAGTGTTAGCCAGTGAAGCACAGTAATGCTACCAGAACTGCAGCAGCTCCTTCAACAGCTACAACTCACACCCTAAAAGGGAGTTTAAATTGCCACAAACCACTGCGGCTATTGATCCTGCGCCACTACACGCTCTCCACACATGCGCCCTCGCCGTAAAACAAAGAAAGAGATGAAACAATATACCTTCCCAAACAGACACTATGGTGAAGCAGCAGACCTGGTTCCGTCCACAGAGCAATTCATTCCGGTATGTATTCATCCTCGTCGTCGGTGCCAGAGTCAGGGGAGTCCGCAGGGCCTTTCCCAAGTCCCGTTTCCCTCGCGGACTCAGAGCAGTGCCGTTTTGGCGCCTGCGCTACGGTGACCTCGCTGCGCTGCACCGCTTCGCGAAGGGCGGCTACTCTCGATGAGAAGTTGACACTATGCCTAGTGTCGTATGCGGCCCGACGCTCCGGGTCGGAGAGCACCTCATACGCCTCCGTGACGCGCTGGTAGCGCTGCTGCACTGCTGCCTCACTCGCCGCGTTGCTGCCCCCACGGTACGCCGCCCGGTCCGGGTGCAGCTCCAGCGACAGCTTCTTGAAGTGGCGCACCAGGTCGGCGTGGCTGATATTGGGCGACACGCCCAGCACCGCGTACAGAGACGGCGGCGACGACGACGACGACGACGTTGCACCACCGCCATACGACGAGCTCATGCTTTCTCTTATTCTTTTGCGTTCAGACGCACACACACACACACACACACACGCACAGCAACGGCGTTGCCAGTGGTACGCCTTCAAAGAAACAATACAAAAAATCCCGCAGGAGAACACGATGCACATTGAGTCCCACACGGGCCATCAGAGCCCGTCACAGCAACAGAGAGGTGGCACCTCAGCGTACGCCGCAGCAACATACGAAGACACGCTGGGGGAGTGATTGGGCGCCAGAGACTCTCCAGCCCTGTGGTGAAATCAAGCAAGGCAAAACGAAAAGACAATAAAAAAAGAAAACAACGACGTTTCCCCTTTAACGAAAAAAAAAAAAGAAGCGGATGTGAATAGGTTCCCACTGCAGTGGAATGTTACTTCAACACAGGAACTCAAACGCGACCAGTCCAGCAAATCCTTTGGGGGAGGCAACCGGCGTAAAGCTTACAGGGGTTGCATGGCTGGCCTTGAACCTCCTTTTGAGCGAGACGTGGTGTCTCTCCAAGGCATGATGTATAACAAGACTTTTTTTCGTAATCGGGGTGTATTTGCAGTCCCCGAGTTTGCGCTTACCAATACAATGAAACCGACAGCACCTTTCACCAAAGAGAAAAATTGGGTGACGTGTTAGAGCAAGGGCAACGCCCACCATCTGATCCTCATGGTTCATCATCAAATCAAGATAATCCTGCAACCGTCCCTCATCATACGGGAGGGAAGCCAAACGCTGCAGTGGTTCGTACGACACTAGACGTTCCGCCACATCCCGCGAGGTGGTGGCACAGTAGCCGCTAACAAATGGGAACGCCATGTTAAATTCCCCCGTTGATATCACGCCCTGCCGCAGTCGCCCCCAGTAAACACCGCGGCGGGGAAGGGTACGCAGATCAACAAGGTACTGCGGCACACGCAGGAATATGTCGTCGTCTGCCTTCGCAAGGTAGCTCGCATTAGGGAAAACTTGAAGCGCCAGCTTGAACCAAAGATACGTCTTACGGCTCATCCCGACCTCCACTTCAATACTCTTACGCCCCTTGAAGCCCTGGGGCTTTCCCTCATTTATTTGCAATGCAAGCACATCATGCCATTGAACTGCCTCCTTACACAGCGTGTGAGAGTGGGTGTAGCCGTGGAACAGGTGCCGCCCTATTACGTACAGCACCAGCATTTCCCCAGTAAAGTTGTTGGCCCGTGCCGCGACGCCAGAATACTCCCAACACGATGTACGCTGCAGGTGGCGGCGTCTTCGCCCTCTGACGGTGTCCTCTGAGGGGATGCCGAACACGACCAGGTAGTCCCGTTCGCGCCATGTGCGTACGACACTCTGTGGTATGTAACGGAGGCTCTCACGCTCCATATAGGCAGTTGTACTCTGACACTGATGAAAAGGAATGCAGTCATGGCCGTCGCGGTACGGGAGAATACAAAGTGCTGCGATAAATATGGCAATCGTAGCGACTACCCACGTTGTCGGGGTCCTGGCGCAACGGTGCCCAGGTTTTCGCATAATCGCCGATCTCCCCACCCCCTTTCCTCTAGATGCGAAAAAAGAAGCAGGGTAAAGCTTACACAGACAGCAATATGGAGTACAGTGTGCCACAACATGAGAAAATTACATTTCTTCTTTACGCTGATGTATTGCACATTCCGCCCACCACCACCACCACCACCATTACCAACACCAACACCAGCAACAACAACGCACACACACACACACACACACACCTCCAGCACGATCAAAGGGTTCGTTTTCCCACCCTCCACCGCCACGCAGTGTAGCAACACATGAATGATGACGCAGCAACGTCTAGCGAAGGTCTTCTCATAGTAGCGCACCAACACTTTGAAAAGAACAAAAACACAGACTAAACAGAAGGCCGCCTGTGCCGTGTTCTCATGCCATTTTTTAAAATCATTGCTTGCCTTCTTGTATATCACTGGGAGTGGAAAACAAAACCAAAAAAAAAAACAGGAGGAAAGAACAAGGAGAGAGTAACTTCCCGTTTGGATATCCTTTGGGAATGTGGAACATAATGTGGCTTTTCCCCTTCCTCCATGGCATAGTTAATGGACTGTGGGCCCTCGTGTCAGGGCCACCGGCTGCATGATGTGCAGCGCCAAGAGTCATGGGGGTGGGGACTGCAGAAGAGGGAGAGAAAGAGTAGTTTACATGATTCGGTGACCGGCGGCATACTAAGCAAAGATGGTGACAAGCACGTCGTCATCAAGGAAGTCACCCAGGTCGCTGACCATGACTTGCCGGATGTCCAAAACACGGGCGGCGGCCTCACCGCTGCAGCACGAAGCCGCTTCGCCCACCGCTGGCGTCGCTGCCGGTGACGGAACGCAGAGCTTTGTCTCGAACAGCACCTGCCGTTCGTACAGCCAATGTGCCTCAATCTCACGTCGTATCTCCGCATGCTCCACCATGAAATGATCACACGCATCACGTTGAGCACGCTCATGCATCGCTTTGGAGGCTACATCGTTGTGTGCCAACATCCACTCATGTGCGGTGGCGCGTGTGGCAATAGCGTCGTCCTCCTCAGTCTCGATGATCTTCCGTAGTCGTTCCTCCTCTCGTGTAAGTCGCCACAGCTCGTGTTGTAGCATCCACCGTCCTGCCACGTGCCTATCTCCGCCACCACTGCAGACACGGTAAAAGAGCAGCCGGCTCTCGGTTTGCAGTTTCGTCTCTAGCAGCATAATTTCGCCGCGTCGACGATGCTCGTAGTCAGCAACTGCCTCAAGTGCCACGCGGGCCTCCGAGCGCTGCAGCTCCTTCGCCTTCTTCTTCTGCAGGATCATCATCAACGCGTGGGTGTGATGCCGAAATTGGGCGGGCTGGACATGTTGCTCGAGGGAGGCCGTCTCCGCACTCGCAACGGCATGCCGCCCCCACGTTTCCATGTCCAGAAGCAGCTGCCGCCTAGCAAACTCCTCATCCACAGCCACGGCCCGTCGGCAGGCGGTCTCGTGCATATACATTAGGTAGCACAATTCAATAAACTCGTAAGCCTCAATTTCACCACGTGTACTCCTCTCCACACATAGGGTTTTTACAACATGGAGGTACTTGAAGTAGTCAAAATAAGGAGATCCCCGTTGCCCACCTAGGCGGCGCCGATGAAGACTCCACATTTTCAGCCGGTTCTCTTCAGCGTTCTCGGCTACATGCGGCAAAGTCTCTGCAACACTAGGGCGCGCCTCCCGCTCCCAGTTCGCTATCTTCATGCAAAACGCATGGTAACCTAACAACGTGTCAAAGCGTTCCTGCTCATCCAAGCGAATGCGCTCGAGGGCATCGAGTGCGAGACGAGCCTGTTTGTGCTGCTCCTTGATGAGCAACAACTCACGCTCCCGTTCTGCAAGGAGCATGGCCTGTAGAACATCGTTCTCTTCAATCACGATGGACACAAACAAGCAGACAAGATTGACCGCCGGCTCCAACGGAATAGCGGACTCCTCGAGAACCTCCAAGTCCCACAGGAGACACCGGCACGGCAACGGGCTCCTGCAGGAAACAAAACGGCTGAGCACTGACACCCTTGCAGACTTCTCCTCTCTCACAACACTGATCAATCGCCTCCACACCTCCAGCTGCTCCACGTAACTGTTCCAAATCATCAATTTTCCCTCCAAGAGCTCCTGAAACGTGCACATTTCACTACAGCCTTGCTCCCACGGCTCGACTAAGTCCCGCTGGCGGCAGGCCGTCTCTTCCTCCTCGAGGTGTCGCAGCGCCGCAGTGCCGCGGCAGATGCGCTGAAACACGCCACTGAACGCATTCTCCGTCAGGACTTTCAACTCCTCGTCGGTAGTTATAATGAGCGGCTCGCGCATAAATTTCCACCCAACGCGTGCACCGCTACTCTCCCCATTGCTGTAGCACTGTACCGGTGATGCCGCGAATGCATCGCACTCTAAGAAGGCTCGCTCCTGCTCCTCCTGGTACGCGAGCCAGTGCAACGAGCGTTTCAGCGACGCCGCTGAACGTCGCTGGCATGTGGCCTGCTCTCTGGAGCCCGTCGTCAGACCCATCAGCGCGACGCGGTGCAACGCCGCGTGCCCGGCAGAGGGCGATGCGGCCTTACGCGTTAACAACGGGTCGCTGCCGGCGATGCCCGGCAGCTTCGGGCGAAATGCCACCGGCGACTCCTGCTTGATTAAGGGCTCATACCTCGTTGTAGTGTGTTGCTGTTGATATGGGAGCAATGGCAATTGCGTCATTAATTTTCTCCCCCTTTCTCTCCTGCAGTTGCTGATTCCGGCTGTTAGTGTTTTCTATTTGCTCCTGCGATGTAAGGAGGTGGCGCTGGCCTCTTTGTGCGGACCACCACCACCGATGTTGCAGTGGCTGTGATCTCTTCGACGCGAATGTGGAAATCCCGCGGAGACAGCGACATAAAAAGCAGCAACAATAAAAGGCGGAGGAAGAGAAGAGACATGGAAGGGTGAAAGAAACAAAAGGCCACAAGGGACCTTCTCATAGAGAACCCCTCCAACACAACAGCCAGAAGTATCAGAAAAAAAAAAAGTAAAAGAAAATGAGAAGGCAATCTATATAGTACCGAAGTTGGAATGAACCCGGCCGAATGATTGCAAAGTAGATTTCTACTCCGTTTTTTTTTGTGTGTTTTTACCTCTTTCCAGCTTTTTTTTTTCCTTTTTGTTTTTATTTACCTCTGACTCTTGTCGTTCCAGTCTCCTAGAGCAGTGCACATAGGCAAAGAAAAAAAGCGACAACAAAGACACAGCATCCGGGATAGATGGGTCTCAAAAAGGGATGGCGTGTGTGGGGTTTATGGTCAATGAGTAGAAGAGTGCGAGAAACGAAGGCCAATGCACTGGCGGTGACTCTGCGGTTGACCACGCAACAACGTCTCGCTCTGCTCCTCCCATACATCAACATCGTGTTCTAAGAGGGAGCATGAGTGGGTAATTGAAGAAGTGTGTATACAGGTAAGGAGCCGAAGGTGTCGCCAAGTGAATGCATACATACATCTGCGCAGAGAGATACATCCATATATATATATTTATATACACGCAGATGTACATGTCACACCCGGCTAAAAGAAAAAACAACAACAACAACAAAGCTTTAGAAAACACGGATAATCGAACCAAACAATTGCGAACACTTTACAGAGTTGTGTGGAACATACATTGATTTGTGTGTGTGTGTGTGTGCGTGTGTGCAGTTTCCCTAAATGATTGCTGCGTTACCGCATTGACAGCAGCTGCGAGGGCAGGGATCAGCAGCACCACGAGGAGGCAAAGGCCTCTTCTTTTTGTGCGTTTGCCTTATTCCCTCGTTTGATGCCTGCTCCCCCTTGCAGCACCTCGTTTGTGCCTTGATGTCGAGTTTGTTTCACTCCACAGGGTATCATCGTAGAGACCGCAACAGGCTATGCCGGACGACGACGACAACAACAACAACAACAACAAGAAAGAAAAACAGAAGACAAAACAAACAAACAAACACCCTCGTTCCTCCCTCACAAAAAAAAAAAAAACCAAAACAAACAAAAAAAA